TGTGATGTTTATGTGACATACCCCCAGCCTCTCGGCCACTTAGGTAGTTTACAAAATTTATGCAGAATAAAAGAATAAAATAAAAACTTGTTGGACTGATTTGACATGATGTCCTGAGACGTTGCAGCTGATAGGAGTCATAAAACAGAACAGGGGGACGTTAGATGCCCGGACGCCCCTCTAGATAAATGTGTTAAATGAAGGTAGGAAAATATGAGCACCAAGCAACAACCCTAGGTTCTCCCCTGAGAACCAGACCAAACATTTTATGTGCAACCCTGAATATAATCCAGATGACACATGAAACGTTCTTCAGCGTCAATATGAGACATTTTCTGGTGCACAATGTTGTCATTTAGTGCCCTTGGTGGGCCAAATGGGAGTCACCTGCAGGTCACAATTGGCCCGTGGGCCTTGAGTCTGACATGTGACCTTGTAGATAAATGACACAAATATGAACAAAATGTGTGACAGTTTTCACCCTCAGCTGGTAACAATAATGTTGATCATTAACATTTATAGACCTCAATAGTGCTTCTAAATTTAGCCCATAAATTTAACAAGTGCTAATCCACTAATGAATTTTAAAAATGGCAAATGCCCTAAAGCACTAATCAAGAAATTAGTTCCCTGTTAGTGCTTTAGTGCTTTAGTGGAACTGTGCTCACCACTGCATATCTGATGTTTTTTGAAGCGACATCAGTCTGAACACTCCTGTTGCCTTACATCTCACCTTTTCATCTACAGTATGATGTGGGGGTGAAGGATCTAAAAAGACACTAACTTCAAGTCATGCTGTTTAAATCTTGTAGCTCCACATGTCTTCAGCTACAGAACAGAAGATGCTTCATTTTTTTATGTCGTGGATGACTGAGAATCCGCAGAAACATAGTAGCATCCAACATCGGTCGCAGACCGTCTCAATCCTATGGTTACTCGTTTGATAATTTAGTTTTAGAACGTCACTTCGTTCCTAAAAATAAAACATTGCACCGTAGCATCTGTCAGAGGCATGTTCAGATACTGAACTAAACAAGCATGTCAGATAATTATTTAATCGGCTCTGACTAAACAACATCTTCAGAATAAACGTGCTAAAAGTAGCATCCATGTTTAGCTAACTCTGGAAACAAACAGCCGGTTGAATGAGACATCACGTTTTTACTGCACATGCATGTTACATCAGTGCCATGGAGCGTTCGCACAGGAATCTGATGGAGGTCACATTTTAAAATGTAATGTGAAAGTTCACACCAAAACAGCTGATTTTTTTTTAAATATCAGAATTGAGCATTACGACCTGCAGTGTGAACGTAGCCAGATATCTGCTCTACTGAGACAGATTTTTGGGCTTTTACCACTTTACTTGTCAACATGTTATCTAGTGAAGTATAAAAACTCCACTGGTTAACTAGTTAAGCTGAGATGTAGACTATTATGCAGTTTTTTTTAATCGTCTGCTCGTTCCACTAGTTTATCATCTAGCTCGAACTTACAGTATAACACTTTATCAAGCTCCTATGGACTCCAAAGCACACAGGACTGAGACAGATGGAACGGGGAATTGAACCAGCAACCCACTGGTTACAGGATAACTACCCTAACCATTCTGTCACAGCTACCTTACAGTAATACATTTTAAACATCTTAGATGCAAGAGTTGACTTGTAAGAAGGCTTTAACTGCAGTATTTATCCTTGGATTTTTTTTTAAAGGTTTTTATAGCTAACATTTCACTAGATTGCACAAGTCAACTAGTGGCTACATTCTAGGCTTACATGTTGACTAGTAAGACAGAATTTGTGTTGACTACAGGGGTGCCACCAAGGTGGAGCCAGGAGGTGCAGTTTAATCTAGTGGTCAACTAGTGCTCTAAAAACCAACTAGTTGTGACTTTTGTGCTTCTGGTGCAGTAGTTTAACCTGACTGATGACTTCTGCTCTGACTAGTTGGATAAACGTGCAACTAGTTGATGTAAAGGAGTTACTCTTCTGGTGAACGCTTTAAGTGTGACCAAATGTGCAACTAGTGCAGCAAAGACCAAAGTCTTAGGAAAAAATGTGATATTAAAAATGTTAAATAAATACAGAAATGAATTGTCATACTCACCTACTTATGGTGCAATAGAGCACCCCAACAACAAGCATTGCAAAGGCCAGGTGCCAGGAGTAACACATGGTGATAAACATCATGTTGCTGTGGTCATTCAGGTCCCACTCAGGCCCACTGGGAGGGTACAGCACAAAGCCAATCTGTTGCCAAAAGCGGAAGCATTTAGAGTATTTACACACTGATGGAAACGTTGAGGGTCACGTCCAGATTTACCTCCCAGAACCAGGAGCCTTGCAGGAGTGTGAGGGTGCAGCGCAGCAGCTCCAGAATGACGTTGCCTCGATGGAAGGTCTCTAGACAGGCAATTAGAGCCTGTCCAAAGACCGCATAGAGAAGGAGCTGATGCACATGAACATCAAGCATGCTCCTTCCATGGAGGTGGTAGAGGAAAAGAAATCCTGAAAAAAAAAAGAAAAGAGAACTGTGTAGTACAATTTTATGATTTAACCACTATGTTCGAAAGTCTAGTTTAAAAGTCTCTTAGATGTATCGTAAAGATACATCTAAATGTGTTTTCTATTAATTGAGCCCATTCAGCACTATCTTGATCATTCATCCTGCATAAAAGAGACTCCTAATCCTAAAGGATGAACCAATGCCATGTCTACACAGGCTTTTAGCTAGAGGGGTGTTGGAGCATCTTTAGAACTCCGTTTGTTTTTCAGATGGTGATGCCTCAGGATGCCCTCAAGGCACCGTACTGATCTTCAAGTTTGCAGATACTCTGCCTGGTCAAAAAAAAAGTGTGATGTGAGGTTGCTGCAGGTGATCAGGCCTAGGTGTTGCAACAGTCTGTGCTCAAATAATGAGGTCAGCTGAATATACTGAATATATATAATTTAGCTCAGCTAACTTACTGTTTGAAAGAGAGCGCGTTAGCTCGGTTGCGCGGCGTGTGTGCTGCGCGGGCAGGGATGGGGGTGCGTGCATGAGACAAACCTCACTTTTGATTGGCTGTTCGGTCTCCGGGTTGGAGATTTTAACAGAGGACAGAAGGACCACTGGGAGGAGCCAGAGGACTTTTTTTTCCCTTTTATTCCCCCCAGAGATTATCCGTCTAATATCAATCTGTCAGGACATAGTGACAGTTTTAACAAATATGTCAAAAATATATATTTTAAAACTTTACAGACTGCAGCTTTAAGGGAAAAAGCTTACGCTGCAACGCAGTTACACAACACAACCTCTAAAAACATTTCTCTAAAGGCCATAATGACTATAATGTCATGTTAAAATGTTAATGTTGAAAACTTTGGGATGCACTAGTCTACATGTTTCAGCTGCATACATATCTCTGCCACAGTTATCATTATACTAAACGATAGATGGCAAATGGCTTGAATTTGTATAGCGCCTTATCAAGTCCACTTGGACTCCAAGGTGCTTTATACTTCAGACATTCACCCTTGCACACACTGAAGGTGGTAAGCTCCAGCCACAGCTGCCCTGGGGCACACTGACAGAGGTGGGGCAGATGCACTGGCGCAAACAGACCTCTGACCAGTAGGCAAGGCAGGTGAAGTGTTCCGACCTTCCAGTTCCAGGACGACTCCCCTAACCACTCCACCACAGCTGCCCACTAGGTTGCATACTGTATGTCTGCTATGTTCATCATGGGTGACATGATTTGTTTCTGAAAGTTTGAATAAAATCCATGCAGGGGTTCATGAGATCATCTGCTTATGCCGGGTTTACACAGCAAGATGATTGTGTCATTTGTGGTGTTCCCCGAAGACAAACAAGCTTGCAGCCTGTTGAATGTCACGTGTAGCCAATCAGAAAGGAAGGGAGGGGAGACACGAAGGGGAATCCAAAATACAGAGACACAAATGCCACGGTGCACCAGAAAGTCCAGTAGATGTCAGAAATGTTTGTTTGTTTTTCTTTGTTAAAATTTGTCCTCAAATAGACCATTTGCCAAATTACGTCATCATGCATGTGCACACGCGTTTTTTGCGCCTCCACCGGAAGCGGGGGGCGGAGCCGCCATTCGAGTTGAGCGCTTACATTACTTCCAACGACAGCAATGGGGAAAAGTGACCTTTGAAGTGTGTATAATTGCTCGAGGCAATGTGACCGAGTAAAAGACAGCGGAGAACCTTGTTCTTTTTACCGAATTCCTCTAGGAAAAATCGAGCAAAGCTACTAAAAGAAGAAAGCTGTGGCTCAATTCGCCGCCAGGACTTCACTCCGACGAAAAACAGTAAAGTGTGTAATCGGCTTTTTTTTTCTGGCATGGCCAATTATCCGAACTCTGTGGACTACAGTCCTACATTACATCTTGGATGTGCGAAACAGACAAAAGAGAGCACATCCTCCCGCAGCAAAACAGCATGCTAACGGACAGATGAGAAGCTAGCTAGTGCAACAAGTCAGAATGAAAAACGGGAACTGCGAGGCCTCACTGTACAAAAGACCACTGCATTTATTGAAGTTTCAACCTGCCACATGCTAGGAGATTCTTCCTGCAACCAACCAGAAGAAATAACATGAATTAAATGTCAAACACATGCAGCTCTGTCAAAATAAAGAGACCACAGCACAGTTATCCTGTATTTGGTGAGAATAAATTCCACCAAAATGATTTCTGAACTTTTCCTGAGCTGAAACAGTGTTGTTGTTTCTAAAAGAATATGAAGTTGTTTACTTTGCATTATTTAAGGTTTGACAGCACTGCATCTTTATCATTTTGGCCATTTCTCATTTTCTGAAAGTAAATACTACTTTTTTGCTTTTGATTTCTAAGACAGGCTGTAAGTTCATAGAATAAAAGGAAAATGTTAATTTCATGTACCTAGAGTAAAATCAGATAAAATTATAATTTTGCAGAGGTCTCTTTATTTTTCCTGTGTGTGTGTGTGTGTGTGTGTGTGTGTGTGTGTGTGTGTGTGTGTGTGTGTGTGTGTGTGTGNGTGTGTGTGTGTGTGTGTGTGTGTGTGTGTGTGTGTGTGTGTAGTTAACCATCCATGAATGTGTGCCTTTAAACATACAGTCTATCAATACTGTTGTGCAATGTCAAATACTGTATGAAATAACATATTTTTTTTACCAGCAGCTACTGACCTCCAGCAGCTGGATCATGCATACAGCAGAACTTCAGCTATTGGTTTAGTAGAGCTTGTTGAGACGGAGGAGGAACCTGCTATAGAAGATGATGCATCTGCTGAGCTCCAGTTGGAAGTTATGAACCAGAGAACAGTTCACCGAGGATGAGGCACATATTGTACAAGAAGTCTTGTGTAGTATGATCAGTTTCATAGAATTAGAAATTAATGTCACCAATTTGAACATAGTGGCTTTTCTGTAATGTTTTCGAAGGGCAGCGCTACAGTAATACATGTGTGTATGATAGTGAGATGAAGCTTCATGATGCATTGATGCTTACCATTCAACTGAACCACAGGATTCAAAGCATCATTAAGCTTCATTCGCTATACTGTGGCATCTAGTGGGAAATTAGTGTAATCCTGATTGGAAGGATATGAATGGTGTATGAAGCTTTAAGTGTATTAAAACAAATACATTTTAGTAATGATAAACTGTTGCCCCACACAGTTGCACTATGCATTTGCTACATAGTATTTCACAGAACATGTCCTAAAGGATCATATTAACAGATTCATTTTGAAGTTAGTTATACCAAAAGACTCGTGAAAAGAAAGCAGGTTAACATAAATCTGAATAAATATTGTGTTCAATTTATATCTGTCTACAGAAATGACAGAAGCTATTCCTTTTCATCACATGTACAGATGGAGGAGACTAGACAAATTGCTGAGGTGCCAGTCATGTGGAGCAATCGATTGGCCGGATAAAATCTTTTCATCTTCTGGACGGCACCGTGCCCCTAACACTTCACCCGATCCTTCAGGACATCATACACACCTGTGCTTACCTGACTCTCTTCCAAGCACCCATATGCAAGGTAACACTTTAGCTCTATTTATAATGACTTTGGTCACTCACTTCATTTATTTTGTCAAACAGTAACTGTACTTGTTCCAAAATTGAACTTTAAAATACAATAGATTAAAACATTTTGAGAAGGCAGCTTTTCATTTTATCAAAAAACATTTTCCTAAAGAGAAAACTGTAACAGTGTGAAGAAACAGCAGCAGAACTTCTCATTTTTCCACAAACAGTTAATTATATCCAAAATAGAACATTCCCGGGAAGTAACATCTGGAACTTGTGCAAAAACAGCAGCAGAACTTCACAATTTTTCAAGAAACATTCAAATATATGAAAAACAGAACACTTCAAGGAAGAATCATCCTGAACTTGTACAAAAACAGCAGCAGAAAATCACATTACTCCGGAAACATTTAATTTTATCCTAAACAGATCATTTCCCGGAACATCCTGGCATTGTGCAAAAACAGCAGCAGAACTTCAAATTTCTCCTAATCACATAAACACTTCAACATTTTCTTAAATTAATGGGAACAAGACTGTACTTCACCCTGGGGAACACAATTTCTAGAAGAAAGATGTCAAAAAGCCTTCAGCCTTGTCCAGTAGCTTTTGCATGAAAAGAAAGTCTGCCTTGACTGTTTCAAAATGCATACAATCCATTACTGAACCTGAGTGTTATAGTCAAACGGAATTTTCTATGCTTGAACCATTACTTGAGCTCTGCTTGCGTGTTTGTGCTTCAATCAGAACAGCTTCTGCTTGTGTGACATTTAAAGATGCCTTGAACTTCTTGCAGGCTTCTCTGATGGTGTCCATGGAGACTGGATGCGGGCCTAGGTCGTCAGCTGCGTCATCTGGTTGAGGGTCAGGATCTGGCACGGCAACCAGAGGCACGACATATCTGAAATCCAGCAATGCATGAAATGTGAAAACAAAGGCAAAAATAAAAGAAGTAAAAAAAAACTTAAACTAAGTGCTATTGATTTTTTAAAGTACTGTATACAACACCAAACTGAAAAATGGCAAAGAAGGTTCCACGCTCCAAATGTCCTTATGAAGATCAGCAGTGGTGTTTTCATTCCGGTCGTCAGGACGTCGTGGGTCAAAAGCTATGCTGTTCAACTTTTTCCAGAAGACCTTCTCCACGCCGACCTCATGTCTTAAATGACACCTGCATAAAAATGTTTGTCATCAATAAGTTCATACAAATGTTATAACAGAAGTCTATCAAAAATAATGACGAAGAAATATACAAGAGATTAAATATGTAGAAAATAAAACATGAAATAGTTCATTTGTAATTTTTTGTTATCAAGAGATTTTATTATTACAGTTTGTGATAGAGTTTATGACTTCAAATTGCTTGTTTGGGTATTTGTGTTACAAGCAGTGGTGGGCACCACTAATGAAAAAATTAGCTCCGCAATTTCTAAAGCTCTTATGAATATATTTAGTTCCACAACATCAAAAGCGCACATGCAGTAGAAAAATTAGCGGAAGCTAATTTCATTCTGCAGTTCAATTTGACACCAGTTGCTGCATAAGTCGTGCATTAAATATGCACTACACTGCCATCTAGCTGTGTATGAACTCTTTTTCAACTCAATTCTACAATCGTCAATTGTTGATGATATGATTTCCTGTAACAGACATTTTGCTCATGGTGTCAAAATTAAACAATTTTTTTTGATCAAGGTCTTTTTTATTGTTTTTTTTTCTTGACATAAACCACACACACACAAAAAAAAAAAAAAAACTGACAAAAACACAAAACAAAACACCCACCCCCAAAATCCCTCCCATCCCTCCCCTCCCACACCGGATCCACTACACAACACAAGTCCGTCCTGCACTCATACATCAGTTGATACAATGTACAGGCCTGTGACAAAAAAACAAAACAAAACAATATTCGACCTCAACACAAAACCATCTGCCGAAATCTCTTCCACGCAAGATACAAATGGCTGCCAGATGTCAAAGAACTCGTCTACAGATCCCCCAACAGTACATCCAATCCTCTCCACACGAATGCAAGACACAACCTCTCCCAACCAATGACCATACACTGGAGGACGTGGATCCCCCCACTGAAGAAGAACAAGTCCTCCAGCCAGCAGACAACAGAAAGCCAATACCGTCCTCTGATGTCCACCGAAGGCAGCCTCTGCCGGGGCCACCCCAAAGAGAGAGACGAATGGTGACGGACGAATAGCCCGTTCAAACAGTCCCAAAAAGTTATCAAAGATGCCCCGCCAGCATCCATGCAGCCCCGGACAGGACCAGAATGCATGCAAAAGTGCGGCAGGAGATCGTCCACAACGACCACACGCCGGACCCAAGTCCCCCCCCGAATTTGCACAATCCGTCCCCAGACCAGTGCAGACGATGCACCACCCCGAACCGAACCACAACATGTTTCCACACACATCGAGGACGAATACATACCTCGAATAATTCCCTGCCAAACTGTGTCTGACATGGACCCCTCCAAGTCCATCCCCCACCCGCCCCCCAAAGAGTCCAAACTGGAGCCAGAAAATGAACCGAGCAGAGAACAAACTCCACCCACAGAGCTCCCCGTCACAGACCCACACACCAAAATCCCATGCACAAGAGAAGTTGGGGGCGCAGAGGAAAACATCCAGAGCCCGACACCACAAAATGCCCCAGCTGCAAACACCTGAAGAAATGTGACCCATGGATGCCAAACGTCCGTGCCATCTGCTCAAATGAGGCGAATCCACCATCTATACAAAGATCATTTAGAAAATTCACTCCCCCCAAACTCCAAGCACTGATAACAGAGTCCACCAGCGAAGGAGCAAACACATGGCCACTTGACACTGGAGCAGACAACAACAATTCTGCACTTTCAAACAACCTCCCGCACGATCCCAGACCTCCACCGTGTGAGTCACAACCGGACCAGAAGCACAAGTTGAGACTGGCGGACCAAACGGCAACCGGGAGCAAAGCAAAGCAGAGAGAGAGCTTGCCGCAACCGACCCCCTCTCTAGAATCACCCAAGCAGGAACAGGATTGCCCTCTCCCAACCAGCACAGCAAGGCTCCAATGCTGGCCGCCCAGCAGCAACATAAAAAGTTGGGGAGTGACAAGCCACCAAGACCACGGGGCAACTGCAACATCCCACTGCCCATCCATGGATGCCCTTCATTCCATATAAAGGATGACAATTCACTATTTAAATTTGTAAAGAAAGTCCTGGTGAGGAACACTGGCACGCTCTGAAATAGACAAAGTAATTTGGGCAATATTGTCATTTTGATCACGTTGATTCCACCCCCCAGGGACAGAGGCAGGGGTGCCCATGCAGCGACGTCCCTCCTAAGGTCCACCAGGAGAGGCAGAAAGTCCGCTGTACAAAGATCTTTGTGACTGTGAGTAATCCAAATACCAAGGRATTRAAATTTGGCAGAGCTAATTTTGAAAGGAACTGGACCCATATGCCGCCCCTCCACTGGGGTCACAGGCATCAACCCACTCCCTTGAAGGTTAACCCTATAACCAGACATGTTTCCAAACTTTTGAAGTAAAAGAAGTAACTCAGGAATACTAGACAAAGGATCTGAAATATAAAGAAGAGTATCAACAGCGTATAAGGAAACTTTATGTTCAGTGCCAAACCGATTGACACCTTTAATCCTAGGGCTGCTCCTCAAAGCCACCGCAAGTGGTTCAATCGCAATTGCGACTAAGAGTGGCGAGAGTGGGCACCCTCGCCTCGCACTACGCTCCAATCCAAGCCAACTGGACAGATCACTGCTAGTACGCACCGCTGCCATTGGCAAGGCACACATCAGCTTCACCCATAAAACAAATCCAGGACCGAAGTCAAACACCTCCAAGGTCCCAAAAAGATAGTTCCACTCCACCTGGTCAAACGCCCCCTCGGCATCCAGCGAGACCAAAACTCCACTGCATCTGTGACCGGGCGGAGCAGAAGCACACAACACACTAAACAACTGCCCGACACCAAAGAAGGATTGACGACCTTCAATAAAACTGGTCTGGTCAGGTGAAACAACTGTAGGGACAATCCGCCCGACTCGCCCCGCCAACATCCCTGCAAGAACCTCCACATCAGCATCCAAAAGCGACACTGGGCGACATGAACTGCAGCTCAAGGGGTCCCCATCCCTCTCCAAAAGCAAGGAAACCACCGCCCGACGCATAGACAGTGGCAACAATCGTGTAGCCAAGGACTCCTCAAAAACTGACAACAACAGAGGAGAAAGCAGATCCGAAAATCTCTCAAAGAATTCTGCCGGGAAACCATCCAGTCCCGGAGATCCTCTACCCCGCATGCCCCCAATTGCAGAGTTCATCTCAGCTGAAGAGAAATCTTCCTCCAACTCGCCAGACAGGTCAGAACCCAGTGAAGGGACTTCAATATCTTCAAAAAAATCATCCAATTCAGTAGGGTTAGGCGAGGCCTCGGAGGCACACAGAGACTGGCAAAATTCGCCGAAACACAGACCAATTCTTGCACTCTCACAACACCCCACCATGCCCATCACTCATTGCTGAGATATCCTGCCCAGCTGAGCGCCACCGCAGCCACTGTGCAAGAAGGCGTCCAGCCCTACCACCATGCCCACAGCAGCCACACCCAGACCTGGACACCAAACATTCGGCCTGTTGGGTAGATAAGATGTTAAACTCTGTTTGGAGTAATATACGTTTCTTAAGTGAGTCTTGTGTAAAAGCATGGSAGCATTCCCTGTCTAATTGTAAAATCTGATCTGTTAGCGATTTTAGCCGTTCAATGTTTTTCTTCTTTTTATTTGCACAGTAAGAAATTATTTGACTTCTCAGGTAAGCCATTAATGACTCCCAAACAGTGCTAAGTGGCATCCCAGGAGTCCGATTAACATCAATAAAGCATATCAACTAAGTCTTCTTCAGAAAAAAGAATCGGATTAAGTCGCCAAGGACGATAGACCGATTGCGTAACAGGAATGTTCAGTTTCATTATGAGCGGATTGTGATCAGAAATGACTATCCTCCATAATCACATTCTCTCACTAAAGGTAAAATCCATTTATCGAGGAGAAAGTAGTCAATCCTTGAATAGCTCTTATGAACAGGGGAAAAGAACGAATACCATCTCAGGGTCGGATTTCGAAAACGCCACACGTCAACCACTCCATAAGTGTTAAGAAATGAATTAATTGACTGGGCCGATTTAGAAAGAGAGATCCTCCCCACTGTACTACGATTGAAGGATGATAGCACACAGTTCACATCTCCCCCAATTATGAGATTATGTGTTGAAATYTTAGGTAAATTTGAAAAAAGGGTATTAAAAAATGTTTGGTCATCCCAATTTAGAGCATATACCGAGACTAAAATGACAGGAAGTGCATATAGTTTTCCCACCACAATAACACAACGTCCAGCAGCGTCCGTTTTAACACTGGATGCCGTAAATTGCACCTGTTTACTAACTAAGATAGCCACCCCTCTCGATTTAGATTGGAAATTAGACTGAAACACCTGACCAGACCAGCGCCTGCTTAGATTTGCACTGTCTGCCTTACACTAATGGGTCTCCTGCAAAAAAGAAATATTAGCATCAAGTTGTCTTAAATGTGTCATAACTTTCCTAAATTTCACTGGACCA